AGGCATAATAATAAAACAATTAGTCACTAACTTTGAACAGGACCGTTACAAAAATTATCTGGAGGGCATACATATGAATTCAAAAACATATGGCAAAATCAAAAGAGCAGTTGGTCTATCCAACAAAGAGCCAATAGGAACTTTAATAGACGCCAATGGATCAAAAATCACTGATGACAGTAGTAAGGCTGAGCTTCTAGCAGACCACTTAGAGAGAGTTCATAATTTAGGGGTTGATTCGGGAAACAGTCCTATTCACAGACTTGTAAATGAGGCTGTGGATGGGATTGCTTCGCGAATGCCTATAGTGAACTTCTCTGATGACCTTACAGCTGATGGCGCTGTAATTAATAGTAATTTCCTCTGGCGGGAAGGGGGATTTGTAAATCCAGAAAAGGTGGCTATAGCAATCAAAAAAAGACCACCAAAAAAATCATGCGGTATCGACGGGATTCCCGATATTGCCCTCAAAAAAGTGGGTAATACAATTCTCACTTTCATAACCCTTTTGTGCAACCATTGCATAAATATAGGCTACTTTCCATCTAGTTGGAAACAGGCTCTAATAGTGCCAATTAAAAAGCCAAAAGCGGATGGAAAACAATGCGGCAATTATAGGCCCATTTCACTCCTATCCCCATTTGGAAAAATATTAGAATATTTCATTTTAGAAAAAATAAAATCAACAATGGAGGACCGCAATATTCTCAGAGAATTTCAATTTGGGTTTAGGCCAAAATACTCAACCACACATGCTCTGGTGACATTTTCAAATTATGTCACCAGAGGGTATGAGAGGAAAATGGGTACTATGGCTGTTAGCCTTGATTTTGCAAAGGCATTTGACACCGTTTGGCAAAATGGAATAATTTATAAACTGCAATCTTTTGGTTTCAGTCATAATATATGCAGGCTCATTGCGAGTTTTCTTGAAAGCAGGACATTTAGGGTAAAAGTCGGTGATAATATGTCTGGGCAGCGACAGGTACAAGCGGGTGTACCGCAAGGTTCACTCCTTGGGCCGGTCCTGTACAACATATTCATAAGCGACATTCCTGGTCCACCTGACGACGGCCTGCTTTTAACTTACGCAGATGACATTCTGATTGCCTTACGTGGACGTTTTGGCCATACACTTGAAAGGAGACTCAATTTATACCTCGAAAAACTTAAAAAATATTTTGATCTATGGCAGCTCAATCTCAATGTCAACAAATGTACATCTATTGTGCTAAGTGGTAAGCCCAGGGCAACATATCCAACATTGGCTAGATTCATACCTACAATAAAAATACGTAACGAAATAATACCTGCCTCAAATGAAATGAAATATTTAGGCATTATGTTCAGCAGGAAATTTAATTTCATAAAACACATTGACTTTGTAATGGAAAAAGCGAAAAGACTATTTTTCGCATATCAAAAACTTTTTATAATGAGAGGAGGACTTACCCCTCAAATTAAACTGCTGATTTATAAACAAATAATCAGGCCAATTTTAACATACTCCTTCCCAGCATGGGCTGATATCTCATCGTCCCAAATGGAAAGGCTGCGCTCGTTTGAGAGACGTATTCTATCTCCAGCCGTAGGTCTTAGACCTTACATAAATGAAAATGGAGAAATTAGAAGACCCTCAAACAAAAGTATTTATAGGGCTGCAGATTTGTGCAGAATAGACGCATTCATGGTGAAAAATGCATTATCATTCTTTGATAGATGCCAAAACTTAGAAAATAGTATGGTAAATAATTTCCTACAAATAAATTTTGATATAAACGCACTTATCAGACAAAAACACATCCCTCCAGTTGCCCTTCTTAAACTCAATGAAGAAGGCCTATTATATAATGAGGATTCTCTTATTCATTATCACCGCAGGTTCGGTAGATATGACGCAGCCACTGACCCAGTATATAATACTGACCAGTAGGCTTTAAAAAAAAAAAAAAAAAAAAAAAAAAAAAAATTGTATATACTGTAAATATTATTCTTATATAAATTTAGTCTTAAGTCTTATATATATCATAGTTATAAGTTTAGTTTTAAGTCTAGAATTTAAGACATTTTAAATCTATATTTTACTCAATAATTGCCTTTTTTGAATTTTTTGGCCTTCTTCAACATGAATTTAAATAAACATTATAAAACTAACTGATTGTCAGTACTAATGTACAACACGAACTCAAAATTTTGTAATCTCTTTTATATGTATGTAGATACCTAGAGAAGAATACCTTATATGTTCACAAATAATACTTTAGCCTTTAAGTAAAACATTGTAAAACATCAACTGAATTAAATGAATAAATGGCATTTTGAAAAATGAAAAAAAAAAAAAAAGTTGAAATTTTTATCATTCTGTGTTTTTCAGTGCTAAGTGAAGTGTTTAAAAATAAAATAAAGTGAAAATGTCTGGTCGTGGTAAAGGTGGCAAAGTTAAGGGAAAGGCAAAGTCCCGTTCCAATCGTGCTGGTCTTCAATTCCCCGTCGGTCGTATTCATCGTTTGTTGCGCAAAGGCAACTATGCTGAACGTGTTGGTGCCGGTGCTCCAGTATATTTAGCCGCCGTTATGGAATATTTGGCTGCTGAAGTTTTGGAATTGGCTGGTAATGCTGCTCGTGACAACAAGAAGACTCGTATTATTCCCCGTCACTTGCAATTGGCCATCCGTAATGACGAAGAATTGAACAAATTGTTGTCTGGTGTTACTATCGCCCAAGGTGGTGTATTGCCAAACATCCAAGCTGTTCTCTTGCCCAAGAAGACCGAAAAGAAAGCCTAAATTATTGCGAAAGGTATTATGGAGTGAATACAGACCATCGTATAAAACACAAAAAATCCATACAAAATCAACCAATCCGTCCTTTTCAGGACGACAAAAAATATTTAAAAAGAGAAAAAATCATTTCAAACAATATTATTTCATTAGTTACATTTATTAAAAATAAAATAAAAAAAAAAAAAAAAATCCAAAAAATATAAATTTTTCTCCTTACAGCATTACATTTGTCTTTTATGAGACGAAATACATTTATTGTAGTCACATTTGAGTTTGCTTAAAATTTGTTGTTGTTTGCCGTTATAGTTCGAGGTATTTTGAAGAAGAAGAAGAAGCATGCTTGTGTTATGTTGTTTTTGCAAGGGGACATTTAAAACGAAGAAGAAGAAGAAGAATAATACAGTTATTCCTGTTGATCAGTAGTACAGCTGGCTTGTATGACTCACAAAAAATAACCACCAAACACTTTTATTGTAAGAAATCGTCTACCGCTTTTTATTTTGGGAAGGCAAAAAAGAGGAGAATTGAAAGAGTTTTTTTTTGCGTTGCAGGCCTTTGTAGTTGAAATAAAATGAAGGGATGACGAAAATAAAATGAAAATTTTTAGGAGTTTGAAGAAAAAATGGAATTGAAAAATAAATTAAATAGGAAAATTTGAATGAAATTAATAGAAAATATTAAAATTAAAAATAATAAATTAAAATGAAAAAATATGAAATTTATACAGACTTTTAATGGAAAATTTGGAAAATTTTTCGAAGATAAAAAGCGATTTTAGGAGTTATTTTTTGAAAAATAAAATGAAATAAATTACAAATTAAATAATTTTGAATAAAAATTTACATTTTAGAAGAAAAATGAAAACATTTTTTTTTTTTTTTTTTTTTTTTTTTGAAAAATAAATTTAAATTTTTTTAGAAAAAATTATTACGAAAATAAAAATTAAATTGGTAGAAGTTTGAAAAAAAAATGGAATTGAAAAATGAATTTAATAGGAATATTTTAATAAAATTAGAAAATATTAAAATCAAAAATATTAAATAAAAATGAAATTTATATGGACTTTTAATGAAAATTTTTGGAAAAATTTTAAAAAATGAGAAGCGATTTTATGATCTTTTTTGTTTTGAAAAATAAAATGAAATGGAAAAAAATGTGGAATAAAATTTGATATTTTAACAGAAAAATGAAAATATTATTTTGGATTTTTTGGAAAATAAATTTAAATTTGTTTAGAAAAAATTATAACGTTATTAAATTGGAAATTTAATTTTTTAATTTAATTTCAATTTAATTTTTTAATTTAAATTTAATTTTTTAATTTAAATTTAATTTTTTAATTTAAATTTAATTTTTTAATTTAAATTTTTTAATTTTTTAATTTAATTTTTTTTTAATTTTTTTTTTTTTAATTTTAATTTTTTTTTTAATTTAAATTTTTTAATTTAAAATTTTTTAATTTTTTTAAATTATTTTAATTTTTTAATTTAATTTTTTAATTTTTTTAAATTTATTTTTTTTTTTTAATTGAAATTATTATTTTTGTAATGTTTCACTCACTATGAACATCGTACTCACATCGTTGTTATGAGTAAGCAATCGTTCGTTGGTTCGTTGTTTAGTATCATGGACTAACAAAATACTACCACATGCATAGATAAAGTGACGCTATGGTATACATACATAATATAAGCAAGCATATGAACAAACAAGCAACGGCATTTAGAAATGCGAGTTGACGGCGGCATTTTTATATGGAAATATGTTCGAAGGAAGAAAATTTTTGTTTTTTGATAGAAATTTAGCGAAATTAAATAAGATTGTAATGAAAATGATGAAGTCAATTTTAATTGAATAAAAAAAAATAAATAAAATAAAAAAAAAAAAAAAAAAAATAAAAAAAAAATTAAACAAATTTTTTACGTTTTCAAAAAAAAAATTAAACAAATTTTTTTGTAATGAATTTTCTTGAAATGAAAAATTTTAAATAAATAAAAATAATAATTTTATTTTTGTAATGAATTTTCATAATTTTATATATGTAGTTTTCTATTGATAAAATAATTGAAAGTTTTTATAAATTTATTTAAAAAAAAAAAAAAATAATTAATTTTTTATTAAAAAAAAAAAAAAATAATAATTAATTTTCAACAAGAAAGTATCTCTTTTTTAATATTTTTTGTGGTCCTGAAAAGGACCGATTGGTTTGTTGTAAAATAAGAAGATTTCTCCAAATAGCGTCAAGAAAATATTTAACCGCCGAAACCGTACAAAGTACGACCTTGTCTCTTCAAAGCGTAGACGACATCCATAGCAGTGACGGTTTTACGCTTAGCGTGTTCGGTGTAGGTGACAGCATCACGAATAACGTTTTCCAAAAACACTTTCAGAACACCACGAGTTTCTTCGTAAATCAATCCAGAAATACGTTTTACACCACCACGACGAGCCAAACGTCTAATAGCTGGCTTGGTAATGCCCTGGATATTATCACGTAACACTTTGCGATGACGT